CACTATATTGTACACTTGAAACCGATATAACACTATATGTTAACTATACTGAAATTAAAACTCTTTTAAACTCAATTTTCTCTGAAAAAAAATTAATAAATTTAAAAGGTTTCCAAAAATATCTATTGGTTCTCCTCAATATGGAGATGTGTGAATATTCACAACTGTTACTAGAATGTCTTCTGTTTTTTTGTTAAAAAGAAATCCATTCTCAGTTAATTTAATGTTACTTGAACCAAAATGTATTATATGATTCCAAAGACTTTAGAAAGTGTTGCCTTATCCTGTGAAAATAACTTCAAAGAGGAATCTGCAATTCTGCTCATCTTATAGCCAAGATTTTGACCTGGTAATAACATTGTAATTGGTATCTCTGTATTTCTAAACACTCTTCAAATTTTTCTGCCAAATTAAAAGAGAATCCTTAGCACTTTCCTTTTCTTCCGCATGCACAAGGTGGAATTATTAATTATTCCAAAATAATGGAGTAACTGAAAGCGTATGCCTTTGCTATATTTACTTTTTTTTAATCTGAGAGTCTGAATCTATGTTTCATTTATATTAATAAATCCATGGATGATGATACAAGTAGAAAAATAATAGATAGGGAAAAAATTCTAGGTTTGGAATAAGGGTTGATCCCAGTGAGAACAAATTTCTGCCCCCTGCAGAGTGAAAGGAATCCAATGTATCCAATCTGTCACAGAATGGCTGCCTAGTCCCCCTTAGGTATTATACCATATTGGGGATCCAGGGTGGTCAGACGTTGCTGTCAGTCTGAACACTGAGCTGTGGCAGAGCCAGAACACGCTTGGAATGGATTATTTATGCTGTTGAGCCTATGCTCACATCTATGGGCACAACACTATAAGCCCACTAAGAAAGCACTTGGGGGACATATATTTTCTCACATACAGTGCTCAGTACAAAAGGTCCAGCCACATATCTCTTCTCCAGACTTATTACCAATCTTATAACCTCATTCCTTCAAAGTCCCTGGCCATCTGACCAAATCACTAATTACTGCCTATTAATCAATGTAGATCCATACCTCAGGCCATTTCATTCTTGTCAAAGAAGACTTGTCGAAGAGATATACATAGGGGCGCCTGGGTGGCTCAGTCAGTTAAGCATCTGCCTTCGGCTCAGGTCATGATCTCAGAGTCCTGGGATCGAGCCCCACATGGGGCTCCCTGCTCAGTGGGGCATCTGCTTCTCCCTCTCCCCCTGCCCCGCCCCCCACTCATGCTCTCTTGCTCTCTCTCAAATAAATAAATCTTTTTTAAAAAATAAAAAAAAAAACAGAGATATACATAATTCTTGATGTTCTGTATTCCTGTAAGAGTTCCCAAATCTACCTCTACCAAATGCCAGAATATTGTACAGAGCACTGTAAACAAAGCTGAAATTCTCTTCCTCCTCTATAAACTGATCATATAGGTGTAGAAGTGCAGTAAGAGTGTGAGTCAATTGCTCAGGCAATTTACTGGGCCTTAAGGATCTGCTTGGATCCAGTCCTGTATACACAATTCCACTTGATAATGCTATCCTCCTGGGGCATGTCCAGGCTGAAAATTCTGTTGATCCAATAACACTCAGTTCATGGTGAGAAACGCAGAAAGCATGATTACCTAGCATGTCTTAGTTTGACATTTTCAACCATAAGAAGGACTGAAGAGAGCAAGACTTTGCTCTAAAACGCTAAGTTCTCCACCACAGATCTACTGGAGCTTGTCTAGGCTCCATACAACATCCTGCCACAGACACTTAAAAAATATTGAGTCCAAGGGTGCCTGGGTGGCTCAGATGGTTAAGCGTCTGCCTTCAGCTTGGGTCATGATCCCAGGGTCCTGGGATCAAGCCCCATATCAGGCTCCTGGCTCAGCGGGGAGCCTGCTTCTCCCTCTCCGCCTCTCCCCCTGCTCATGCTCCTCTGTATCTCTGTGTCTCAAGTGAATGAATAAAAGATTTAAAAAAAAACAAAAACATTGAATCCATAAAAGGAAAGCATCAGGGTTGTTCTCACAGCAGTCTAGATCAGCTGGACTTCTCTTACTCTACGTTCCACTCAAAGCTGGCAGATTTTAGGTCACCCTAGGTGAGAGCTGCCCGAAGATGATGTTGCCCACACTGGCTGCTGACACTCGTTAGCCATTCCTCACTTCTCCCTTACAAAAAGAAACCCAATTTCATTCAAGAAACAGGCAATAATCAGCTAAGGGAAGGTGGGAGTCTCCTTCAGCCCCAAGAGTTAAGCTATGAATGGTCTAATCCCATTCTCCTTTGCTAGTGACTGATTTGGGATAGACACATGACTCCTTCTGGTGAGACATATGGGGACGTCTGTTAGAGGGCTTTGGGGAGTGATTTCTTCCCTGATTTAAAAAAAAAGGAAGGGTAGGGGCGCCTGGGTGGCTCAGTTGGTTAAGCCACTGCCTTCGGCTCAGGTCATGATCCTGGAGTCCCAGGATCAAGTCCCGCATCAGGCTCCCTGCTTGGCAGGGAGTCTGCTTCTCCCTCTGACCCTCCTCCCTCTCATGCTCTCTGTCTCTCATTCTCTTTCTCTCAAATAAATAAATAAAATCTTTTTAAAAAATTAAAAAAATAAAAAAAAGGAAGGGTAAAAAAAAGATCTTTTCCTTCCTACCTTTGGATGTTGTCATGTAAGGATCTGAGAGGCTGGAACTGTAGCAGCCATCTTACAACCATGGTGGGAAAAACAAGAGAATAGCAGAGCAGTTAAACTAGAGCCCTGACATCATAGAACAACCAGAATTTACCATTCTCTTTCATTAAACTGTCCAGCACTTTTATTTTTTTTATTTAAAAATCAATTAGCCAACATACAGTAACATCATTAGTTTCAGATGTAGAGTTGAGTATTTCATCAGTTGTGTATAACACCCAGTACTCATCACATCATGTGCCCTCCTTAATGCCCATCACCCAGTTACCCCATCCCCCCACTCTCCTCCCCTCCAGCAATCCTCAGTTTGTTTCCTATAATTAAGAGTCTCTCATGGTTTTTCTCCCTCCCTGATTTCTTCCCAGTCTCCCCTCCCTTCCCCTATGATCCTCTGCATTGTTTCTTATATTCCACATATGAGTGAAACCATATGATAGTACTAGAAGTCCTAGCTTCAGCAATCAGACAACAAAAAGGAAAAAAGGCATTCAAATTGGCAAAGAAGTCAAACTCTCTCTCTTCACAGATGACATGATACTTTATGTGGAAAACCCAAAAGACTCTATCCTGAAAATACTAGAACTCATTCAGGAATTCAGCAAAGTGGCAGGATATAAAATCAATGCACAGAAATCAGTTGCATTTCTATACACTAACAGTGAGACAGAAGAAAGAGAAATCAAAGAATCGACCCATTTACAATTGCACCAAAAACCATAAGATACCTAGGAATAAACCTAACCAAAGAAGTAAAGGACCTGTACTCTAAAAACTGACCAGACTTTTAGAAGCAACCATCTACCCCCTCTGGCTTTGAATGACTCATGCACTTTAATACTCTTCTATGGCAAAAACTGAGTAGTCCCCAAGGCTTTGCCTCCAATACTTACTTCATTCCAGAAAATCAGAGCTGACTTTTTAATTAACTGTTTCATCCATCCCTGCACACCTAGAGATGCTCTACTCCGTAGAATCAGCTGAATTTTTACTGCTTTCAGCCTCAACCAGGTCAGATAATTAATCCCAGATTAACCCACTGATGGTCTGTTTTCTTGCAAAATTCCTAATACTGTTTTTGACTGATTTCATCGCAAGTCACAGAAATCGATTCTGGCTAATTTAAAACGATAAGGAACTTATTTAAAAGCTACTGGGTAGGTCACAATATTATCAAGAGGACTAGAAAACTTTCAGAGATACACAGCTTGAAATTTATATCCAAGCCTACGCAACAGAACTGGTCTGAATAGGCTCCAGATGCTATAGACTGAACCACAATACCACCCTTGGACACAGGACATCACCACTGGCTTGGTTGCCATTGCTGCCCCAGGAAATTAAATCTGCAATGGGGAAGGAATGAGGGGTTTGCTTCTTCTCCTGTTCATGCTCCATCGCTCCCACCACTTGCTAGCTACTGCTCAAGCCCCTCCATTGTCCAGACTCGAAGGGAGGGGAAATTTGGAGGAAAAGACTGTATTCTACATGACCAGTAACTACTGTTACAATCTGATATTGGTACTCTTTGGCTGTAGCACCTTTCAGATACTGGATTCCTTCTTGAGTGTGGAATTTCTGTGGGTTTCACAAAGAACCCTCCACTCCACTGGGGACCTCCTACCTACAATTCCTTTACAGGTTAGATTCTTTACACAACCAACCAACTAAGACTTTGCCTTCAGCCCCTGACTTCCACCAGGGCCACCTACCCTCTCCAGGTGGATTTCTTTGGTGAAGTTTCTTTTAAGATTATCTACAACTGTATCCCTTTGCAGGCTCCACATTTGGTCCATGGGAAAACACACCTGTGTGTCTGGCTCCACTAAACTCTGCTCTACTTCGTTCCGCCACCAAACAGACTGCTCTAGCCAGCCTCTAGCCTGACATTTTCTAATTTCAGACGCCAGACTTTGAGTCGTTCAGGTTCCAGAGAACACATTTCAAGCTTTTTGAGTGGTTTTCTTCTCTTGGCTTCAGATGAGAAGGAAGTGCTTCCATCACTCTCACCAGAATATACAGCACACTGACAATTCTCTCCAAAGAAATCCTCCCTCCCAGTTATTTCTGCCCTTCCTCATGAAGTCTTTGGCGGCCCTTACAGAGCTCAGAAACAAGAGATGAGCTAATGCTGGCAGAAGAAACTGTCCGTGTCTTAGCATGTCCTACATAAAGTAGGACACGCTAGTACCTTGTCTTCCGATGTGGGGGTAATTTTGGTACCCATATTATTTAGCCTTAGAGTTCTTAGTCAAAACTGAGACAATATGAAAAGTGCTATTTTAATTTCCTATTACATGTAATCATGAAATTATACCTTATACTTCTCCAGCCTTTCAGGTTTTCCAGAATCTCCAGAGTTCCAGAGTCTCCAGAGTTCCTGTCTGGAAAAGATAAACTCAGATTATTTACAATAAGGAATAATTTCTAATATATGACTACCTACAAAAAATATAAAGAAAATTTACTTCTTTGGGATCATAGAGCCACTTAAGAAGTCTCTGACCTCCTGATTCTGTGATATGTGTTGGTCTTGAAAAGTAACAAGAAAAATTGCACAACAGGGCACCTGGGTGGCTCAGATGGTTGAGTGTCTGCCTACGGCTCAGATCATGATCTCCAGGTCCTGGGATCAAACCCCCAGGCTCCCAGCTCAGTGGGAAGTCTGCTTCTCCCTCTCTCTCTGCCTTTCTCCCTGCTTGTGCTCTCTCTGTCTCTCTCTCAAATGAATAAATAAGAAAATCTTAAAAAAAGGAAAACCTGCACAACATAATTCAGATCTGTAGCTGCAAACTAGATATCCATTTTCTCTGTACGCTACATGTGTATGTGTTTCCCAAGAGAAAGGGTTTGTCGGTAACTTTGGAACCTTCGATTTATCAGAATTAGTACCAGCCACTTCTGGTTCCCTCATGTCAACTCATCTGAGGCTTCCTTCAATTCAGACAGTTTCCTGTTCCAATTCATGGGGTCTATAGCACAGGCTGTGTCTGCCTCTCAAATGGAGTATGTACACAACAATGTCAACTAGAACTGGGGGGAAAAACAGTTCCCCTTAAAATGCAGAAAATACGGCTTCGTGAACTCTTCTTTCAATTTGTTCAGTACTTATTTTTCTTGCGAGCTCTATGAAATATGCTTCCATTTTTTGAAATCTGTTTGACTATGTACACTTACTTACTTGTTATAAAGTCTAAAATGATGGGTCATTTTCACCTAATGAGTTCTTCAGTTCAAAATAAGATGAACTTTTTTCTTTTTCTTTTTTTTAAAGATTTTATTTATTTATTTGAGACAGAGAGAATGAGAGAGAGGGAGCACATGAGAGGGGGGAGGGTCAGAGGGGAAGCAGGCTCCTTGCTGAGCAGGGAGCCCGACGCGGGACTCGATCCAGGGACTCCAGGATCATGACCCGAGCCGAAGGCAGTCGCTTAACCAACTGAGCCACCCAGGCGCCCAAGATTTATTTATTTCTTTGACAGAGACACAGCGAGAGAGGGAACACAAGCAGGGGGAGTGGGAGAGGGAGAAGCAGGCTTCCCGCCGAGCAGGGAGCCCGATGCAGGGCTCGATCCAGGGACTCCAGGATCATGACCTGAGCCGAAGGCAGTCGCTTAACCAACTGAGCCACCCAGGCGCCCAAGATGAACTTTTTTCTTGAAAATCAGAATTAAGTACAAGTTAGCAGTATAACTCATTGTTTACTCTCTTATGCTAGATGAAAGAGAGCACAAGGTAGACAGATCAAGAATTTAACTAAATGATGCCTACAGGTTGATGCTCCCCATTACTTCTATCTTTTGCTTGCTATCCCCATTTTGTGCTCTGTATTTGGAAAACATCATCTGCATCTCCTACCTGGTCAGGTTATTTCTAATCTAGTCCACACTAGCAAATTCCCTAATGAAACTGAGGGCCTCTGATTTCACCCTGAATCAATTTTTCCTTCTCATACAAAGTAGATTTGACTTCCACATCTACTTGTAACTCCTATCTATATTTTAATATACTTTACTTTTAGAAGTTTTAGGGTTCAGAGCAAAACTGAACAGAGTTCCCACATACCTGCTGCATCCACAATTAGAAACGACCTGTCCCACTATCAACATGTCCCACAATACTGGTACGTTTGCTACAACTGATGAACACTGACACATCATTATCACCCGAAGTCCAGACTCTACGTTAGGGTTCACTTTTGGTGTTATACACTCTATGGGTGTTGACAAATGTATAATGATGTATCTAACATTATAGTATCTTACAGAATAATTTCATTGCCTTAAAAATCTTCTCTATTTCACCTATTTATCCCCACCTCCCCCAACCCCAGCAACCACTGATTTTTTTTTTTAACTTTCTCCATAGCTTTGTCTGTTTCAGAAAGTTATATTGTTGGAATTATATAGTATGTAGCCTTTTCAGATTGGCTTCTTTCATTTAGTAATATGCATTAAAGATTCCTCCAAGTCTTTTCAGAGCTTAATAGCTCATTCTTCTTCAGCACTTGACAATATCATACTATCTAGATGATTCATCCATTTACCTACTAAAGAATATTCAGTTGCTTCTAAGTTTTAGCAATTATGAATAAAGCTGCTATAAAATTTGTGCAAACATAAGGTTTCAACTCATTTGGATAAATATCAAGGAACACGATTGCTGGATAGTATGGTAAGAATATGTTCAGTTTTATAAGAAACTGTCAAACTGTCTTCCAAAGTGGCCATACCATTTTGCATCCCCACCTACAGTGAATGACAGTTCCTATTGCATTTGGTGTTCTGTTTTGGATTTTGGGCAGTTGTGTAGTAGTATCTCATTGTCTTAATTTGCAATTCCCTAATGACATATGATGTTGATTATCTTTTCATACTTGCTCGCCATACATACATCTTCTTTGATAAGGAATTTGTTCAAATCTTTTGTCCATTTTTAAGTTGGGTTATTAGTTTTTTTATTGGTGAGCTTTAAGAGTTCTTTGTATATTTTGGAAGACCATCCTTTATCAAACATGCCTTGCAAATATATTCTCCCAGTCTGTGGCTTTTCCCATTCTCTTGACACTTTTGGAGCATAAGTTTATTTCAATGAACTCCAGCTTATCAATTATTCCTTTTATGGATCATACCTTTGGTATTATATTTAAAAATCATTGCCATACCTAAGGTGATCTAGATTTTCTCCTATGTTATCTTCTAAGAGTTTTATAGTTTTGCATTTACTTTCAGGTCTACGATCTATTTTGAGTTAATTTCTAAGAAGGATGAAGGTCTGTATCTAGATTCATTTTTTTGCAGTGTATATCTAGTTGTTCTGGCACCATTTTTTAAGAGACTGTATTTTCTGTATTGTATATCTCATATTTTCTTTGCTATATTGTCAAAGATCATTCACTATATTCACGTGGGTCTATTTGTGGACTCTATTCTATTGATCTATTTGTCTTTTTGCTGATACCCCACTGTCTCAGTTATTATAGCTTTATAGTAAGTGTTGAAGTTGGATAGTGTCAGTCCTCCAACTTTGCTCTTCTCCTTCTATACTGTGTTGACTTACTCTGGCTCTTTTGCCTCTCCATATAAACTTTAAAGTCAGTCTGTTGATATCTACAAAATAATTTGCTGGAATTTTGACTGGGATTGTGTTGAATCTATAGATCAAGTAGAAAGAATGGACATATTGACAATATCAAGTCTTTCTTTCCATGAATGTGGGATATCTCTTCATTTATTTAGTTCTTATTTGATCACTTTCAACAGAGTTTTGCAGTTTTCCCCATATTGATTGTGTACATATTTTGTTAGGCTTGTACCTAAGTATTTCATTTTTTCTCAAGCAAATATAAATAGTATTGTGTTTTTAATTTCAAATTCCATTTGTTCATCGCTGGTATATAGGAAAGAAATTAACTTTTGCATATTACTTTGTACGCTACAAACTTGCTATAATCACTCATCAGTTCTAGGAGCTTAATGTGGATTCTTTCATATTTTCTACATAGGCAATTATGTCAATTGTGAACAAAGATAGTTTTATTTCTTCCTTGTCAATCACTATACATTTTATTTTATTTTCTTGTCTTACTGCATTAGCTAGGACTTCCAGTGTGACTCTGAAAAAGAGTGATGAGAGAGGACGTCCTTGCCTTGTGCCCGATCTTAGCAAGATAACTTTTAGTTTCTCTTCATTAATTGCATTGTTACTTGTAGTTCTGTTGTAGATGTTCTTTACCAAGCTGAGGAAGTTCTCTTCTATTCCGTTTCCTGAGTTTTTCTTATCATGAGTGGGTGTTGGATTTTATCAGATCCTTTTTTCTGCATCTATTGATATGACCATGATTTTTCTTCTTTAGCCTGTTGATATGACAGATTATGTTAACTGATTTTCCAATGTTGAACCAGCTTTGCATACCTCAAATAAATCCCACTTGGTCATGCCATATCTCTTCTTATAAGCTGTTGGATCCAATCTGATAATATTTTGTTGATAATTTTTGTACTAGGTTTATGAGATACTGGTCTGTAGTTTTCTTTTCTTGTAATGACTTTGTCTAAATTTGGTATTAGGGTAATGCTGGCCTCACAGAATTAATTAGTAAATATCTATCTTCCTTTGCTTCTATCTTCTGAAAAAGATTGTAGATAATTGCATAATTTTTCCCTTAAACAGTTGGTAGAATTCACCACTGAACCCATCTGAGCTTGGTGCTCTCTGTTTTGAAATGTTATTAATTACCAATTCAATTTCTTTAATAGATATAAGCCTATTCAAATAACCTATTTTTACTTGTGTGAGTTTTAAACAGATTGTGTCTTTCAAAGAAGTGTCCATTTGATCTAGGTTATCGATTTTGTGTGCATACAGTTGTTCACATTATTACTTTATTATCCTCTGGATGTCCATGATATCTGTAGTGATGTCCCTTTTTCATTTCTGATGTAATTTGTGCTCCTCTCTTTTTTCATAATTAGCCTGGCTACAGGCTTATCAATTTCATTAATCTATTCAAAGACCCTGCTCTTGGTTTTGCTGAGTTTCTCAACTGATTTCAGTTTCCAATTTCATTGATTTCTACTCTAAATTTTATTATTTCTTTTCTTCTGCTTACTTTGGACTTAATATGTTCTTCTTTTACTACTTTCCTAATAGAGAAAGTTAGGAAATTAATATTTATCTTTCTTCTTTTCCAATATATACATTCAAAGCTATAAATTTTCCTATAAGCATCGCTTTCACTACATGCCACAAATTTTGTTGTCTTTTCATTTCCATCAGGTTCAACTAAGAAGCCAAAACAAAACTTACTTCACTGCCTTCCCACTGAGCAGCTTGCCCAAGACCCTATTCCAATTCTGATAGCCCATTTACAAGCCAAGCCTGGAACACCCCCTGAAGTCACAAAAGTGTGAGGACCCCCCTCCCCCCACCCATGACTAGATCTCTCTGGAGTTAACGCTCAGACTTATCCACACTAAGCCTCCAGCAATTCATCAATTACACTTCACATTTTCCAATACCAATACTGGCTTCCCCAGAAGTGGGTTGTTGCTCCAATAAGTTGTGATTCTCTATTATCTGTCTAACTCTCCAATTCTAGGGTCATTGGTTTACCCCATGATCTCAATTCTCTGACAGATCTAAGAAGAGTTTTTGATTTCTCAGTTTGTTCAGCTTTTTATTTGTTGTTAGGATGGACTGACAACTTTCAATCAATCTCCTTACATGAGACTGAAAACTAGCAAACTAGGAAGGTATCACTAAAATGCAAATGCTTCTTCCCAGAAGATAAACAATATATCTACAATAGGGAAAAGAACATTAACTCTTTGCTAAAAGCTTTCTTTCACTAGAAAATTGCTTACTGCATTCCAAGCAAAAGTTCTATTATATACAAAGGCCTGGAATCAAGAAAGAGAACCGTTCTTTAAGAAAATGCAAATGTTCCATGAGATTGGAATGAGACTTGTGTGGTAGAATAGCAGAAAATAAGGATGTAGAGATAAGGAGGAATCATGTTATGCAGAACCTGACTGGCCCATCTAGAGTTTGGATTTTATATCTTTCTCAGCCTTTGAAGACTTTTAAATAGTAGAATGACATTTATTTCCTTCTAATCCACTTATTCAAAAACTATTAAAGGCGAAAGAAAATAGCATGAATGATTTATGTTTCAGAAAGTTCACTAAGGGGGCATTAGTTAGAAGTGCATTAGATTCAGGGACCTGACAACAAAGACATCAGATGGGAGGCTTTTTCAGAAACCCTGTAAGACATGATGACAGCCCAAACAAGGCAGCAGCAGTGGCGGGGAGAGGGGTAGAGAAGAGGCAAAAGATATGAGAGGTATTTAGGGTTTGGTGACATTGAATGCAGGCGCTGAGGGTTAGGGAGAAGTTGCGACTTCCAGGTTTCTGACTTGGGGAAAGAAGGTGGGGGTGCCTGGCTGGCATACTCAGTTAAATGTGTGCCTTTGGCTCAGGTCATGATCCCAGAGTCCTGGGATCCAGTCAGGCATTGGCCAGTGTGCTTCTCCCTCTGCCCCTCCCCCTAGTTGTGCTCTTTCTTTCTCTCTCCTTCTCTCTTCCAAAAATAAAGTCAAGAAAGAGAGAAAAATAGATAGATAGATAGATAGATAGATAGATAGATGGTGGTGCCCCACACAGACGAAGATTAAGGAGAAAAGATTACAAGGTGAGTTTTGAACAAGTTGACTTTGAGATAACTGAGAGATATCCTAATGGAGACACATAGATGTCTTATAGTCAGTTGTATGCCCAAGCCTAGAGTTCACCACAGCCACCCTTAGTCATAATCTAGAAGCTGTCCCTATATAAAAAGAAGTTAAAAGCCTTAGTGTAAATGAGAGAGTGGAGGGCGCCTGGGTGGCTCAGTCGGTTAAGCGTCTGCCTTCCAATCGGGTCATGACCCCACGTTCCTGCGATTGAGTCCCATTTCAGGCTCCCTACTCAGCAGGGAGTCTGCTTCTCCCTGACCCTTCCCCCCTGCTCGTAATCTCTCTCTCTCTCACTCTTTCTCTCTTAAATAAATAAAAATCTTTAAATAGGGGCGCCTGGGTGGCTCAGTTGGTTAAGCGACTGCCTTCGGCTCAGGTCATGATCCTGGAGTCCCGGGATCGAGTCCCGCATCGGGCTCCCTGCTCGGCGGGGAGCCTGCTTCTCCCTCTGACCCTCCCCCCTCTCGTGTGCTCTCTCTCTCCTCTCATCCTCTCTCTAAAATAAATAAATAAAATCTTTAAAAAAATCTTTAAATATATATATAATAAAAAATAAATGAGAGAGTGGAATGAAGGGAAGGCCGTTGGACAGAATTTTTTTAGAACATCAGCACGTAAGATACATACTGAGCAAAAAGAGCCATGAAAAAGACCGTAAAGCAGAGGAAGAGAGTGGTCTGGTAGAGCTTTTTAAATAAAACTCAGCGTTCACAACAATCAGCGTTTAAGAGTAAACTGGCAAATACTCCATCATCCCTCTTTCTCCACAACGGCCACTCCTAAACCACGGCACATCAAACACGTCCACGTCCCGGAGGCTTGGCACTCACTCGTGCCCCTCCTCGCAAAGTTCTCTCCCCGTGTCCTACCGAACGCCAAAACTCCTACTCACCCTTCAAGAACAGCGGGAATAGAGCCGGGGAAGTTTCCCGAATGGGTACCTCCTTGTGTCCCCTTTACCACTCCTCACAGCTCAGTTTCCCCCTCGTTGCAGCGTCATTTGAAGGGCTAGATCTTACTCATGTTGTGATCTCAAGACGCAGCGCACACGAAGTCTGTAGAAAGAGTACAAAATGGTGCAGTCCTGTTTCTCACGTGCTTCCAGTTAAATTCCTGGTTCCTCACTTTCCATAGCTCTCCTTCATAAGCCATATTATCTACGCTGCCTGGGCTAAAGTTACAAGGGGAAAACCCCTTCCGGACACAGACGTTTCACATCTAGCTTGACGGCCTAGCCGAAACCCCTCCGACTTCAGAGCCGAAAACACCCGGGCGCGCCGTAGAGCACCGGCCGCGCCAAGCTCAGGCCCCGCCCTTCGCGCCCAAAGCCCGCCTAGCAAACCCCGCGCTCACGCTCCGCCCCCGGCGCAGGCGGAGGCGGGACCACGCCAGCAGCACTCCCCGCCCATGCCACGCCCCTTGCGCCAGGCGCACTCCCCGCCCCCGTGCCCAGTACGGTGGGTCCCACCCCGGATGTTCGCAGTTCGCTGACCGAGTCCGAGACCATGGCGGCGCAGGTAGGCCTGGCGGTGCTGCGCGACCTACTCCAAAGAAGGAGGGAACAGAGGGAAAGCGTAGGATGGAACTGGGCCGCTAACTGCGCGGGGCACGCGGGGCTCGGCCTGTAGACAGGCATGAGCTGCCGGATTTGAAACGGTGCCTTGGGCGAGCTGCTCTGCGGGAAGGAAGGGAAAGAATCTTTGTTTCGGCTCTTCACTTGAAAAGGTTTTGCTGCTTCTGGGGCAGCGGAGCGAGGTGGGGGTGGGGAGAACCGGAGAGTGGGGGGTGGGGGGGGTCGGTTTCCTGCTAGAAGTGGTTTAGGAGCGCTAGTGCTTTGCGCATGCTAAAATAACTAACTGGCCTGGGGTCATACTGGGCGGGTGGCAGAACCCGCGCTCCTAACCCTTAAGGTTGCTGTGTTTCATGATTGTAATTCATAATTGAACAGTTATGGGGACACCAAAGAATGTATTTGGGAAGACCCGTGGGTCCCTTTCAGTAGTAACATTTTTGAGCATTTAAGGCACCAGAAGTTTATATCCTTTTAATCCTCCCGTGACACTTCTATGAGGTATTGTCTCCATTTTTCAGACCCAAAATTGAGGCTTAGAGGTTTGGCGTGCTTAGTGGTCACTTTAAGATAGCCAGGAGTCCTGTCCAGGTCTGTCCCTGTGCGAGGAACTACTCAGGTTCCTGAAATATACATTAGACAAGAAAGAAAGGCAGAAATATATGAATAATCAGTTTAAAGTTATTTGGTGTTTTAATGTTTTGCAAACTTTAGAAATTTTCTAGAAAGATTTAGGACCTTAAATGTTGAGGTTGAGAAGAAATGGTGAACTCTAGACGATCTTTTAGATTTAACAAATTGGCAACTTTTCCTTATTACCAAGTGCCTTTATTCAGAGAAGGTGAAAAATTATAATCCTGTGATAGTTCAAATGTTGAAGTAGGACCATTGCCTGTGGATCTAGGGCAGAGCTTTGTTTTGCTTAGAATTGTCACTGAAAGAAAAGGTTAATCTTTCAAACATTCCTGAGATGAGGGGACGGGGCATAAAAGCTTAGATTATAGATGAATTATTTATTCATGTTGCTTAAGTTCTCTAGGATCCATGGCTATTCTGAATTTGACCTTTGGGACTTTGTTTTGAGATTTATGGTACATTCCATGAAAACAGATTGTAATGCAATGTCTGAATTTTTTCACCATCAGATTTAATATCTACACTTTAATTTTAAAAGCAATAATTTCCAGCCTCACCAGTTTACACAAGCCACTCATCTCTGTATATAGTTCAACTCTCCTTTTCCTCCACTCTGTTCTGCTAATATTGATTTGTTTTTGCAAAGCTACACAATGCCGAGGACTGTATTAGGGACTTTGTTCATTTTCATTTACTTCTCACAATAGCTTTTTGTAATTGTAGGTGTTTTATCACTATTTGTAACTCTTTCTCATCCTTTGTTATCCTAGTTAAAAGTGAAGTTTTTTCAAACCCACCAATCAAAGTTAACTCTCTTTCTCCATTTTGTGCATTTTCTCCACTTAGTGCAGGAGCACTTTATGCCTCTCCCTTTAACTTACAGTTATTGGAATTGTTGACTTTGAAGTTTGTCTCCTATAAACCCAGCAGTTTGCAACCTTTATTCTGTCAACACATTTTATAAGCATTATGTGAACTAATCAAAACTTCCCTGTGGGGGCGGGGGGGGGGAGGGTGTGGCAAAATAGGTGAAGGAGATTAAGAGGTTCAGACTTCCACTTATAAAATAAAGAAGTCATGGAAATGTACAGCATTGGGAATAAAGTCAATAAAATATTGTAATAACTTTGTATGGTGACAGATGATAACTAGACCTACCCATGGTGATCATTTCCTTATGTATATAAACGTCAAATCACTATGTTGTACCCCTGAAGCTAATATAATATTCAGTGTTAACTATGCTTCAATTAAAAAAAAATTTTTAACTCTCCTCATTACACCTGATTCTCTGGTAAAGGAGGAGTGTACTAACTAGAATTTCTAAGGCAATGCTATGCTATAGAAATATAATACAAGTCCCATATGTAATTTTTTTTCTAGTTGCCACATTGAAATTGGATAAAAATTACATTCATTATACAGTAATCCCCTCCCCCCCCACCTGATCTGCTGTTTCAGTTACCCAAGGTCAACTACAGTCCGGAAGCAGGTGATCTTCCTTCTACCCATTATCAGAAAGTCAGTAGTAGCCTAACACTACATCACAGTGCCTATGTCACTCCATGTCATCATCTCAAGAAGGATGACTGCATGCAGTACAATAAGATATTTTGAGAGAGAGACCATATTCACATAACTTACTATAATATAATTTTTCTATTTTATTATTGTTAATCTCTTACTGTGCCTAATTTAGAAATACTCTAGGGTATATGTTAAGCATTCAGATTCCTTGGATCCTGTGCCAGACCTTACTGAATCCGATTGTCTTGGAACCTGTATTTTTTTTTTTTTTTAAGATTTTATTTATTTATTAGCAGAGCGAGGGAGAGAGAGCATGAGCGGGGATGAGGGGCAAAGGGAGAGGGACAAGCAGACTCCCTGCTGAGCAGGGAGCCCAACGTGGGGCTCAATCCCAGGACCCTGAGATGATGACGCATGCCGAAGGCAGACACTTAATCCACTGAACCACCCAGGTGCCCCTGGAATCTGTATTCTTTTTTTTTTTTTTTTTTTTTAAAGATTTTATTTATTTGACAGAGAGACACAGCGAGAGCGGGAACACAAGCAGGGGGAGTGGGAGAGGGAGAAGCAGGCTCCCTGCCGAGCAGGGAGCCTGATGCGGGGCTCGATCCCAGGTCCCTGGGATCGTGACCTGAGCCGAAGGCAGACGCTTAACGACTGAGCCACCCAGGCATCCCTGGAATCTGCATTCTTGATATGCTCCTGCTTATGCATTGTAGAAGGCCATTAAATACTTGCTTAATAAGACTTCTTAACCAAAAGAGGCTTTTATATCTGACCATATGGTCATCTCAATTAAATTTTTTTAGTGAACATTATGTATATGAAATCTAAGAACATGCAAAACAGTTCTCCATATCACTTCGGGGTGTAGAGTGTTTTGTGATTGTGTGATCTACTTTCTAAGATTAGCATTCGTCAGGATCTAAATTAATAAGGAATTCATTATTAGTGCAGGAGGATAAACAACTTGCTCTCTTTTGTCCCCATTTCAGGTTATCAAGTGCAAGGCTGCAGTTGCCTGGGAGGCAGGAAAGCCTCTCTCTATAGAGGAGGTGGAGGTGGCACCCCCAAAGGCTCATGAAGTTCGAATTAAGGTAATGACACATCTAAGGCACTGGAAGAGAAGACTTACAATTAGGTCTTTGGGTAGATGAATCCTCTGAGGATAAATCCCAAAGGCCAGTGTCAAGGAGAAGGTATTGAAAGTCATCCAACCTCAGAATCACAACATCCTTCTCTTATTTTTTTTTTTTTTAAGATTTTATTTATTTATTTGACAGAGACACAGCGAGAGAGGGAACACAAGCACGGGGAGTGGGAGAGGGAGAAGCAGGCTTCCCGCGGAGCAGGGAGCCCGATGTGGGGCTCGATCCCAGGACCCTGGGATCATGACCTGAGCCGATGGCAGATGCTTAACGACTGAGCCACCCAGGCGCCCCCATCCTTCTCTTATTTTACCCCCTTCACTTTTGCAGCTCTTCTCTCCGTCTTTTTAGCTTTGACGTTGAGCTCAGCAGCCTTCCCCACGGATCACTGGATTATTGCAATTTATCTTCCATAGCCTGTGTTTAAGATGAATTTGTAAGATGCTCTCTTTTCTCCTGATCGTATGACTTAAAACGAATGATGACACATTAGAAACAAAAGTAGAATTGGTCTTCAGACTCGTTAGAGGCAGTTCCGAATAAGATTTGGGAAGAGGCTCCTGATTTGACTGGAGCAACAAGCAAGTGAAGTCCACTTGCTTAGAGAGCTTTAAAATGTACTGAAACTTGCAGGCAAGGCCTTGATTCAGGGGAGCCATCAGTCTAGTCCTGCTCAGCCTCTGCTGTGGCAGAGAAAGGAAGTTACCCATGGAGAGAGGGATATTGTACAAGGCAGCCTCCTGGGTATTTTTAGCATTCTCTCTTGTTTTGATGTAAAAGTAATACTTTAAAGTAGTGACCATTGAATAAAACTAACATTCCAGAAAAGGTAAGCTTTTTTTGCTGTGAATTAGAGTATACTTTCCCCATCCCACCTCCAAACACTCATGCTCCCAGGAATCAAATAACAAGTGGAGGAGCCCACAGCCAAATAACTTTTCAAATCCTTTTCAACCTGGACCCAGGAATCTGAAATCTTACACAGTTAATACATTTTTCTCTAAGTTCAGACATTAACCTGATTGTGACTTTGCCACTGAAAAAGAAAATGTGTCCTGGGATGTACTAAGATGAGCTGTATGGGAAACTACTAACAAATAGCAGGTATATAGGTGAGAAACAAAGAAGCATAAATAGAAACACTCCGCGATTTCATTTTTTTTTTTTAAGATTTTATTTATTTGAGAGAGCGCACAAGCAGAAGGAGTGGCAGAGGGAGAGAGAGAAGCAGACTCCCCGCTGAGCAGGGAGCCCAGTGCAGGGCTCGATCCCAAGACCCTGGGATCATGACCTGAGCCGAAGGCAGACACTTAACCAACTGAGCCACCCAGGCACCCCTCCAGGATTTCTTTTCTGTGCTTTTAGTGGTTCCTCTCCACACCTGGAGGCACAGTGCCCATAAAATCACCGCGTTTACTTGCTCTTGCTAGCCTGCACTGGAAAGG